GCATACTATATCTTTCGGTTGCGTACGAGAGTCTTGTTAAGATTTTGGTTTCTGCTTCACTTTTGACCATTGGATAGGTTACGGTTTCTACCCAAAGCAGAAATTCCAATAAAAGTCAATCTGCACTGGGATCAGTATTTCTGGCTACTAGGCATTGAGGCAAACCAAAGCACGAAATAGAGGTGAACTAACCCAAACAACAACTCCAGGTTCACAGATGAGATGAGATGTTTTATTACTACTCCTAAAGTTCTTCTGTAATCCTCACAGGCACTATCACTAACGGTCGCCCGTCTCTAGGTTCCCATTAGTTTGCCTGCACGTCTCCTAATTCAGCTTGACTGTCGGATGCCTCAACTCTTCAACTCCCTTGGGTCCACAAAATCTAACTTTTATTCAATTCTGTAACTCTTGGCTGCTCCTGGTATGCCCCCCAACCTATTACCTTATCCCCGCCCCCATTTCCTACTAATTTGGAACTTCCGTTGTTAATCCCAATATTTGCATATATCGCCTGGAAAGCGCCATATATAATATTATGAAGAAAAAAAATCCTCTATCTCAAGATGCGATAATCTTTAACTTTGACCAAAATAACAGCAATTTCTGGCCGACCTATAAGTGACCTGAACAGCAACAATGGAATGCCATCCTACACCCCACCCCAGTCATTTGTGACAGCTCTGTAAAATGACCTTCTGCAATAAGACACTGGACTTCTTTATATTTCATTGGAATGAAGGAAAGAAATATCAACAATGTCCGTAAAATAAAAAGCTAAAGAGTCAATGATCAAAAAAGACTTCAACTGGACTGATTCCCACTTGAACATCAACACAATTCCAGTAACTTTGGGGATTATGGGAAAAAAAAGAAATATATTAATTAGCCAGACATTTTAGATGTAAAACTTTTTAAAAAATGTTGCAGCTTATTTTAAACTGGCCACAACAAACCAACGCTACACATCAAGATTACCAGTTCTAAATATCTTCTAAATCTCTCCAATAATAAATTGGCCAAACAGCAGAGACAAATAAAAATATGTTAATTAACACACAGTGCCTGCCCACAGGCAAGTTTCAGGGGAAAAACTTCTGGCCGTCATGGGAACTGGAAACAACAAAACAGTGTAAACACCTCGCCCCTTGGTAAATATCATAGTTAAAATATTGCTCTAGCAGCCCGACGGGCACAGGTAAAACAAGGATTGCACACAGCCTGAGAAACAATTGATTAAAATGTTTTAAAAAATCAATTAACCGTAACCTTTAAAAGTACTGCTGCACTTGAAGAGGTTTGATTAAACTTATTGAGACAGAAAGTTCAAATAATACAGTAAAATTGTTGAATTAATACACAAAAAGCCAATTGATTAAAAACATGAAAGCATAAGCAGTAACGAAAGAAAAGTAATTTCAAAAAAACAATTACTAGTTACTAGAATACAAAATATATCAAAATAAAGCAAAAGCTTCACATAAAAAAAGTTAAATAATTTAAAGCAAATACATTTATATGAAATCACTACTCATTAACCATAATTTTAGAAATATCATAGTAGCAAAATATGAAAATCTATCAAGGAAAAGACTGGAACAAAAAATACTATAAAATAAAATGTAAATAAAAATTGTAGTAAAATCCAGACAGCCAGGTTATCAATTTAACAAAGATCAAAATGGTAGACTTGTAAGGGAAATAATGGTAGGCTTGTTTGGGACATGATGGTACGCTTGTAGTGGACATGATGGTAGGCTTATAAGGGAACATGATGGTAGGCTTACTTGGGAAATGATGGTAGGCTTACTTGGGAAATAATGGTAGGCTTGTAAGGGAACATAATGGTAGGCTTCTAATGGAAATGATGGTAGGCTTCTAAGGAATATACTGGATCAGTGATGAATATTTGAACTTAGCACCTCCATGACCCTTACAGCTCCCGACCCCATAGCTCAGCTCAGACCAATGATCTGTCAGGTGAGTTCTCTTCCTATATAGTCCCATACATGATTTCTTCATCATCCCTATTATAATTATGTTTTTGTTGTTGTTTTTTTAGAGACGGCATTTAAAGAGTGTTAAAATCCCCAAGTAAACTAACGGTCACAAAACGTGTGTTTTGTGCACACTATGTTTTGTACATTTCAACTGATGACTCGTCAGAAAAACGGATGTAATGGTAAAATAAAAGAAGACCAATCTTCCAAACACCAGAAGACGACTCATTAGAATAATGGGTCACTGACCTTTCGTCTGGTGCACATAATTGTCATTTTACGCAGTCAGTACGCAGATGACTTGAAAGGTGTTCACACATTGGCTTTCATTATGCAGTCATAAAATAAATTGACTGTTCCATAACCTGAGATCAACATGTTATTACTACAATAGTTAAATGATTTGCCATTCAAAATGATCAAAAAGAATTTTTTGTTAAAAAAAATTTTTTTTTTTTTCAGGGATTGACATCACAGATTTCTAAATGTCATTGATCAGATGTCAAAAGCAATAGAAGAAAAAACAAGAAAAAAAATTGTAGGCAGTATACAAAAATGTTATAGCAGGATAATTTGTTTGACACTGACGGATCTAGATTGAGCCCTAGTTTGCTGAAAAGTTGTATCTGGAATAATCTTCAATATAAAACAACAAAACAAATGACATTAAAAATTAAATATATCACTCTGGCTTGTCCACAGAAATTAAAATGTTGTAAGAGCAAAAAAGGGACTCCCAAACACAAATGGAATGAAACAGAACTAGATCACAAATTCACAGATCATACAAGTGGATAATTTCTTTACAGATCACAAAAATGGATCACTCCTTCACAGATCATACAAACGGATCACTTCACAGATCATAAAAATGGATAATTTTTCTGGCAATTATTTGGCCACAGAAGCATTTTTTAAAATCTTAATATTAACTATAAATAAATTTGGCATAATTTTTAAAATTTAAAAAAATAAAATGGTAGATGTAAACAGACATGAAAATATTATTTGTCATCACATGTAAGTCAGACGCATTTGAGTAAATACAAACAACTAAAAAACCCACCACATACTCATAGGTTATAGAGATAAGATGCCGTTGTACAACCTGAATACACAAATAATAGAAGCAAACGGCTAATACCTTTCTGACGACAAACACTTAGCGGAGACTTTAGATTCTTGAAACAATTGGTCCTTATCTTGGAATGACTTACTTTAGTTTTCCTTACATTGGAATGACTTGGTTAAGTGGTTGCTACGTTGGAATGACTTGGTTAAGTGGTCGCTATGTTGGAATGACTTGGTTAAGCAAAAATATTGGGTATAAATTGGAATGGCATTCTGTCATTAGATCTTAAATTAGTGAAGTAGAGATGACAGCCATATTCGAATCAAATTATGTACATTGAGGTCAACCATTAAAATGGTGTCTTTTCATCTTGTAACCAATCAGAATACAGGAAAACGATGGCCATTACTTTACTCTAAGTTAACAAACAGCCAACCCATTTTCAAGAAGGTTGAGAGGTCAACCCACTTAAATAAATAATATGAGGTGTTGTAGTGCTGGCCATTAGCGTTTTTCAATGTCAACATTAGGTGATCATCTATAGAAAGTGTGCAATTTATGGCCCCTTTTTTTTTTATTGTGTTACAAGTTTAGCTTCTAGTGGTATCTACAATAACAAGAAATTACTTTAGGGTAATGCTTTTTTGCTACGTTAACAACTTATCTGAAACAGCGTTTCGTTGTGTACATTTGATCTGCTGATTTCTATACGTAGGTTTACGATCCATCTTCCAGCCCCAGCAATAATTATGTGAGAATCCTTGGTCTGTCATCATTTGAAAAATGATATTGTCTGATGGAAACATCTTGAACCAAATTTTGTCTCTTAACTCCGTCTGTAACATGAGCAGCGCAGCCGGTTGCTAGATCTATACCATTTGAGGATCCTTGACGTAAATGTAGAAAGGCTGCTTGAGGAAGTTGCTGGGTTTGATCAAGTCCCTCTCGGTCTGACTCAGCATGCGTGGCGGGGGAGGCCGAGGGGGTGGCACGGCGGATGAGCGCTTGATGACTTTGTTTCTAAAAACCAAATTTTAAAAAAAAAAAACATTAGCTCTGCCAACAGGAGTTGGGCAAACATAATCATAATCTGTTTTTTGTCTTTAGTTTGATCTTTAAATAGTCAAATTCATACATTAGTTACAAACTTGAGATTAGTGCATAACTCAATATTTTTACAGCCTGTTAACATTTTAAGGTTTTAAAAGTTTCTCACAGGCTTGATGGTTTTTTTTTAATCTCTTAACACTGTAATAATTAAATACTTTTTTTAATTGTCCACACCAATATTTATTATTTGTGTGTGTCAGAATGGCAAACACAGGAAATCAGTTTTAGTGAAAACCGCGCACATAATAAAAGCACACAGAAAGTAGTGCACAGAAAGCTCCGCCTGTGCGGCCGCTGTTAGTGTGTTTACATTCCTGCGTGCTATATTTGGCGAATGCATTTGTCAGTGTGCAGAGTTTCCATGTGGGTAGTTATGAAATTGAGGAGTTTTTCTTCATCCATTTGAAATGTGGCCTTCTGTCTGGTCACCAAAGTTTATATCAAATCAACTTCAGTGGCTGAGGATTTTTAGTCAGAGTTTTCCTCAACCAAGAATGGCTGCCTTTTTGGCCGATGATTCCAATGCACCCAACCATTTGCTCACAGCTGGGGACAGACTCGGATGATTTAAAACCATCTATCTCTGGGTTGTGAGGCAAGGGTGTTACTACTACACCGAAATACCAACCAACCCAGACTGTCAAACGTGTGAGGCAGAGATGGCGACCTACTTGGGATTTCCAGCTTCATCTGACTCTGCCGATAAAGTCGGGGCCAGGTCTCCGAATGAGTACGACTTCGACGCAAAACTCCGCCTGCGCTCCTCGGCGGTCTGAAACATGATGGGCGTGGCCAGGGAAGCCGTGCTGCCACTCCTGCCCCTCCACAGCTCCTCTGACGCCAAGAGGTGGTCGTCGCTGGATTGAAACGAGAGGGACGTGTCGCTGGAGGTGGTGCCACTCTCTCTGTCATCAGGTACAGGTGAGAGGAGAGGATCGGGTAAAGAGTAGCGAAGATTAACTTTCATGAGTTCACTGAGCTGGAAAAGTAAAATAAACAAAATTAATTGTAGAGGGCAAAAATTTATTTTTTAAAATGTCATTTTCCAGTTGAAAGACTTTCAGCCTCAAGTAGGATTTTTTCTTCTAATATTTTATCAGAATAGAACTAAGATTAAATTTGTTATAAAATATTAATGCACTGGGTTTGCACATGAACATGTTTTGATATCTTTTTTTCTATTTCCAGGGGTAAATGAAGTAAACATTGTCACAAAAGACTGAAACTGATTGTTATGAAACAGTCAGGAGAATGTGATTCATAACTATTATGCAGCCCACAGCTATTTGTAATTAAGTCAGCCACATGCATACCATAATGACAGGGAATTTATGACAAATGTTTCAGTAACATGGAGCATTCACAAATTATTTAATCTCTCAAAAACACACTGCACGCATTTAAACATACTATCCAGTGGGCAACAATTATTAGTGAACTACCATACTTGACAAACCCTAAAGATAAAAAAATCAACCAAATTATCCGTGTTCAGACGTCATCACGCGTACAGCCTTTTTTTTCACTCAGTGCTATTAATATAAAACATGTGGACTTGGGGCCAGGGGGGGTGGGGAAAGGTTAAAAGAGGAAACAGGACAAACCAGAAGTAAGAAATATCTAAAAAGATCCAATTACCTCATAGAGTCCTGGCTCGTGAATCTGGAAACCAACTCTGATAGGCACACAAGATCCACGAGGACATGCGCTACAGAGCAATATATAGATAACTGATTCATTCAGCTGAGGTGAAACAGACAATTTTTTAAAACCATCATATAAAAATGGAACACCCTGTGGCCTTTTTTTACTCCCAAGGATCTGTTAAATTTTCGAAAACAAGGTAGAATGAATTCCAAGTAAATCTCATGACATAAACTTAACTAAACAGCGGCTATGATGTCCAGTTTCCCCAGAGCTGATAACTTACCTGACAGCTATGTCTGGGTCATGACACACAATGGCATCTTTCAGCTGCATGACTCTGTTCATCTCCTCCTTTGACCCACCTGTAAGGAGGCGAGAGAGGAAATATTTAAACAAGCACATTAAACAGATTTAAAAAATCAGAACTACTTGCAAAATTTGACAAGTTTTGTTTTTATTTTAAAGCCGATGAAAGAAATTTAAACAAAACATTTTTTTAAAAACTTTCAATAAGGTCTTATTTGAAAGGAGGTTGGACTATTTTTAAAAAAAAAATAATAAAATGGAGATTAGAGTGTGTGTAATTATTTACAGGGAAGATGAAAATCTTTTAAACAACCTCAGTAACATTTGACTCACTCATGAAAGCAGTCGTAACAAAAATTGTCATGATACATACACAAATTCAACATTTTAATCAAATCTAGCCAGCCATGTTGTAAAACTACCAGATTATGATCAATCCAGCATCACATGGCCCCATGGGGAAACAGACGACCTCTTATGCTAAGGGGAGAAGTTCCATCCTCCACTGTGACTTATGACTAACTCTCTAACAAAAACCATCCTCCTCTGTGACTTATGACTAACTCTCCGACAAAAACCAACCTCCACTGTGACTTATGACTAACTCTCTGACAATAACCATCCTCCTCTGTGACTTATGACTAACTCTCTAAAATTCTTGTTTGCTGCGTGCAGGAAAAGACTCTATGAAACTCAATATATTCAAAACAGACTTGCGACCCTGGGGCCCTAATGTCTTGCATCTGCTTCAGGGCAAAGAATTCGTCTTAAGGTCATCACCAGCCGCCCACCAATGTCAGACTGATCAGTAAGCTGCCCACCAACATCGCCAGAGTATAACATTAGTCAGCTGACCACCGTCATCAGACTGTAATAGACTCATCAGTCCAGGCACATTTCCTTGGGAAGGAGTTAAACACTCAGTACAAAAAGGAAATCAAGCCCAGAAGTCAGATGACAGCAAAAAATTCAGCATAGGTTTCAAAACCCTCCTGAGCATAGGTTTCAAAACCCTCCTGAGCATAGGTTTCAAAACCCTCCTGAGCATAGGTTTCAAAACCCTCCTGAGCATAGGTTTCAAAACCCTCCTGAGCATAGGTTTCAAAACCCTCCTGAGCATAGGTTTCAAAACCCTCCTGAGCATAGGTTTCAAAACCCTCCTGAGCATAGGTTTCAAAACCGTTTGTTAATTAAGTCAAACCAAAAAAAAACAAATTTTTATGTTAAACAGAAGAAACAAAAATGATATCTACTTACCATGTTCCAGTACATTCCTACACATATTCTCGAGATTGTAGTAGAGCCTCATGCTCATGAAGTCATACAGCTGGTTGCTTATTGAGTAGGTCACAAAGAAGCTGAGAAATACCGCAGGAATACATGAGCATGTCTTACAATTGTACATACACGATTTAACAACACTTCATTTTTCCCAACCAAATTAATCTGCAACCATTTAGTTCCTTGCCTCTGTGATAACAGTATAAATGAAAGGACTGTTTTCAAGCTGTGACAACAGTCACTCACTGCTATAAAAACTTACAAACTACTCTGCCATATGGGTCAGAATTAATGGGTTTTTTTTTTCTACCTGTTAACAGTCAACTCTTACACATATCATTAGAGAACACCTCTACAATATAAATAAACCAGCTCTCTGTCCGGTCTCAAAACATTTCAATAGCACTAACCATGATGGAATTTTAGACATCGCAGTTACTGGTATACTGTAAAATAGTAATACACATGATAGAATTTATATGGAAAAAAAATAAAAAGATTTGGTACGCTGACTCCACTTGGTATAAACCTAATCCACAATTTTACGTAGCTGCCATGTCTTTTTCCTGTCTGGTTTTTTACATTTTACTTCAAATCACTTCCTGTCCTTGCTTCTTTTCTTTGTTTTTGTTTCGTTTTGGGCCCAATCATTCCTTTTTTTTTTTTTTTAGGTAGGATACATGTTTACATATATATATATATATTATTTAAATTTAATTTATACTTTTTTAAATGTTTTGTTTTTATACTGATGAAGGTATTTACCAAAATTTTTATTTGTTTCAAAATTATTATTTTTTTTTTTTTTTTTTTTTTTTTGATAATATTATTTTTTTTTTTTTTTTTTTTAGGTAGGATACATGTTTACATATATATATATATATTATGTAAATTTAATTTATACTTTTTTAAATGTTTTGTTGTTATACTGATGAAGGCATTTGCCAAAATGTTTACTTGTGTCAAAATTATTATTAAAGCTAAACATATATTGTTATATTGACACAAATAGTTGGAGTCTAATTAATTAATCATTAAAGTGGCCAGGATTATTAGGCTTTAAAAGTCTTATTTAATTCTTTCCTTACGTTTTTCCAAGCACGACCTCCTCGTCACACTTCACAGTGACTATAAAAGGAGGACACCGAATTTTTATCCTGGGTAACCTGTAAATCAAAAAAAAAAATTAATAACCTAGTAAAAATAAATATAATATAAGTAAAATTTAATTACAGCAAGATAAATTATTATTATGACAGTAAAAAAATTTAGCGTAGGTTTCAAAACCGTTTGTTAGTTAAATCACACGAAAAAAACCTAAGTTTTATGTTAAACAGTTAAGTTTAATATTATACCCAATAAACAAAACAAAAAAAAACACCAAAAAACAAAAATACCCTTCTTAGTACACTTAAACATTTTCAAAAAATCGGAAAGAAATTGATAATTAGTTTAATTAATTAAACATCAATTTCTTTCCAATTTTTTTAAAAATGTTGAAGTGTCTTAAGAAGGGTATTTCTTGTTTATACAGAATGTTCATAAAAGAGAATAACTGAAACTTGGCACAAACTTGTAAAGAGTTGTGATCTCATGGCTGGCTCCAGAGTGTGTCCACTTGACATTGGCGCGTAGCGACAGTTCCTGAAAGAAAAAAGGGCACTTTAGATCATTAATTCACATAGAACAAATTATTTTACAAATGGGCAACTGGAACCCAGTACATGATCACATCAAACTAAGTTATGAGTCTAACTTACAGATGGGGATTGAACCGAAACTCGCATTGAACACACCAAACTCTGCTTACTACCAAACTGAAACAAACTATCGCAAATTTGGTAGAACCAAATTATTTTTTTTTAACGAATGTGGAACATTACTACTTATGTGTAAATTGCCTATATTTTAATCAAAACTAGAAAAGCCAATTGTAAAACCATTTATTGTAAACAAAAATGATCTTTTTTTATCATCCCCTACCCATCTCTCCCCCCGCTTATGTTTATAAATAAATTTTAAAGAATTCTAATAAAACCAAAATTAATTTCAAACCGAAATAAATACGGAACATAAAAAATTCAGTGGTTGCCAAACCAAACCCAAGCTTTGGTTGTTACCGATACAAACCCAAACTTAAGCTTTTAGCCAAACAAAACCCAAACATCTAAATGAGGGTTCAATTACCATCTCTAATCTAAACCTAGCAACAATTAGTGGAAATAAAATCCTTCTCTGAAACATATTTCCGGTTGGTATAAGTTATGACTTGCAATGTTTCACATTTGACCTTTTTTCCTACAGCCCTGTAATTACTTAAAATTTTTCAAAGCAGTGGTCCTTAAGCATTTTCTCCAGGGAGGCTTCATAAAATCACAACTTTTAGATTAAAGAAAAACTGCTTTTTTAGACTTGTAGGGAAACAAACAACATTTGAACCTAATGAATGATTTAAGTACCTAGAATCGCAAGAAAGAAATTTTGTTCCATTTCCTCCACCAGGCTGTGTGTCTATCAAAGCATTTGTGTGCCACAGCTTAAAATGAAAAGTCTAGTGCCTGGAAGATTGCTCGAATACTTTTTTTGTCAAAAGCTTATCTTTTAAACCAAAAATTTTCAAAAGACAAGATTTGTCACATTTCCAATCCTTGTTGCAGCACACACAAAAAAAAGCACCCTGATCCTCCATCCAATATTACACTAATGAGCCCCCTTACCGAATCTGAAGGGATTGATGACAGGAAAAGTTTGTAGATGAGATTCAATTCCTCCAGTGGGCACAGTATAACGGGAAATGCATGTGTACGTTTGGGAAATTCTAAGTTTATTAGTTGGTGGCAGCTCTCCCACTTGGCTGAAGAGCGACTGGCATTTTAAAAAGATGGATAGACTGGTAGGTTAAAGGACATTAGTATCTTTAATTAATAACAATACATGGATAGATGCAATTTGTAAATGATATTAGAAGAGGTCAGTAGCAATACATGAATAGATGTTATATATAAATGATATCATTAACAGAGCTTATTAGCAATACATGGGTAGAAAGACTTTGACTTGGTATGCTTGTAATTAGTTTTGTAGTGTTGCGTTTGTTTTAAATGTGGTATAGTTGTTGTTTTTTTTTGACATTGTACCGCGCTTCGAGCCTTTGGGGATGAAGCAGGTTTTTGAAATAAACTTTATTATTATTATGCTTTATATACATGATACCATTAACAAAGCTTAGAAGCTAATTATGGATAGATGCAATATATAAATGACATCATTAGCAGAGCATTAACATATGATCGTTGGTCCTACCTATCATCACCACACATGCCAACTTCATGTACTGGACTAGAACTGGACAGTAGCTGTATACTTTTTAACACCATTTGCTTGTCTGTCTTGTTACTGACTGTTAAATATGAGCAATGCACATTACTATATGTCTGGCATGAGCTTTTGTAAAGTTACAGAAAAGAGGATCTATTTTTTTTCTTTTTAAAATTAGAATATAACAATTACTGTAAAAATAATTTACTTTTCTAATATATTTTATGGAAATGTATTGTTTTAAATAATTGTAGCAATCTTTGAGTGTATTTTTTAATACTGCATCAATTCTAAAAAAAAAAAAATGTTTTTTTTGTGTTAACTTCTGTAAATCATTTCATATATGAGTTTAGAGATTTAAAAAATTATTTACAATTCCATTATTTTAAAAATACATCTGCAAATTTTGTGAATAAAATATCTACCAGAAAGCAGAAGCAGTTGCTTCTGTCCTGCTGATGAGTTCTTCATTTTTAACTCAGGCGGTCCTTGAACTTTAAACTTGGCTAATACTGAAAAGATTCAGGTACACATAATTATGAAATGGCAGATCTTAATTTTTTTGATTAGCATGATTAAAAGCCAGGGCTTTACTGATGGAAATAATCTTGGCTCTGACAATCCTGGGTCTGAAGATGTGGAAGCAGACAGGATGTTATTTTATATATATATCTATGATATTGGTGACAATTTCAATTTGGCTAGATTTCATGTCAGCATTGTTCAACTATAATCATCCTAAATAGACTACTTTAAACCATGACTGCCGCAACATCAATTTTTGGGGGTTTTTTTTTAAATTGAAAAAAAACCTCAATCAAAGTATTTTTTTTATGTCTGAAATAAATACAAAAGAGTTACCAGATTTCTCTTGTACGGAGCGCAGGCTACTGGACACTCTGACAGGGCTGCACTGCACACTGAGCTCTCCATGACCTTCATCTGCTGAGTCCTCGTTATCAAAATCGAAGAACTCCTTTATATTCACTGGAATTTTCTTTTTGACTGATTCCCCATTACCTGTTCAAGAATTTTTTTTTTTTAAATTGTTGGTGAAATATATGGAAATTTGCAGGACAGTATGAAGTACATATCTTTTTAAATTATACTACCCTGACTGATTCCCCTCCTCTGACCGATAAATGATCTTGCTGGCTGCCGTGCATGGTTTGCTTTGTAAAAGTTATGTGGTGGGGTGGGTGAATATACATTGCTGTTCTTTATTTCATAAATGTATTTTATTTTAATGTCATGATTATGTCTGTTTTGATAAAATTTTTATGTACAGCGCGGTGAGCCCAGCTGGGGTACAGCGCTATTTAAGACCTCATTATTATTATTATTATTATATATTTGTAAATATCAGGGTGCCGCCATTCACAAATAATTTTCATCCTCCCACACCTCGAGTTTGTTCATAATGTGAAAAGAAAAAAGCTTACAAAATTTTGACAGATTGTAATTATATTTACACTGACAAAGTTTCGCAATATATGATATTATCCAGTATTATCTTTAACATAAAAATTCACTGTAAAAATGTCTTCTAAAATAATATTTAAAAAAAAGGAGACATGACCTGTAGCTGTTAAAAGTTACTTCAGAAAGTAATTATATATCCTTCACAAAATCAGTTTAACTCAAACAGTAACTGAAAAAGTCACAATGTCAATTATTTGTCTGCCAATGTAGATGTTTGCACACGGACTGCAGTAAAGGCTGACTTGTTGGCTTTTTAGAAGTCATGGCAGTGTGTCTCTATGAGCTAAAGTGAGTATTTTTTCTGTTCCTCTTGATTTGCCAGGACTCCATCGGATGCATGAATCAAGGCCAGCGCTCTCTTGGCAACATCGTGCTACACTTTCAAACGCCTCACCTTTCGTTGGTTTACAACAGGCCAGCACAACTCAAAATTTAAGGCGGCCGAAATACTTTATGAAAAACTTGTGCGGGCCAAAAGAAAATAGGACCAGGGGGAAGCTATTATAAAAATATTAAAAATAAAGAATATTTCGTTACTTCGCTGGCCGCCAAGTGGGTGCTGGCGGGCGCGGCCCGTATGCCGTGCAGGCCTGGTCTACAATGTAGTCATTGTCTCTGCTCTGTGTCTATGGATTGTTGATGAGGAAAGTTTGTTGTATATAAAATGCTGTGAACAGTTGCCTGGTATGTTGCCATACAGCTGTTTCTCAGACAGTATGGGGTGGAAGGCAATGTGTCAAGGATGATCTGATGTTTTGATGTCAAGCTCTGTATCCATGGCTGCCTTTGTAGAGTCAAAGAATGCGAAACGGACCCCACATTTGACAATGTCCAACTGATTCTGCTTAAATGATGTATGCTACATTCTTGTCACTGACTTTCGTTCTGTCTAATGCAAGTCCTATACCTGTACTTTTGCTTTAGTTGACTAGGAGCCTGTCTGTTGTCGATCAGAGTCCTCATCAGCGTCACTACTTGTTTCAGCCTCACTTACACTGCTGATGCTGAACTCCATATTTATCACCGCTTGTTGCATCCGCTCAGTCTCCTTTGCTTTGCGTGTTTCTTCGCCCAACATCCATTTCTCCACAAAACTTGGCATAGTTGCTATGTATATCTCCATGAAACTTGGCATAGTTGCTATGTATATCTCCATGAAACTTGGCATAGTTGAATAGTTGCTATGCATATCTCCATGAAACTTGGCATAGTTGCTATGCATATCTCCATGAAATTTGGCATAGTTGCTATGCATCATATCTCCATGAAACTTGGCATAGTTGCTATGCATATCTCCATGAAACTTGGCATAGTTGCTATGCATATCTCCATGAAACTTGGCATAGTTGCTATGCATAAAAAAAGGAACAAAATGAAGGGGATGGGCCTTGAAAATTTTGAACATTTTTTTTGGTCATTACACTGAGTGGCACCATAATTGCAATACTTGCAGTACACACACAAGGTTGGTCAATCATGGGAACCAATAATCCTTTATAAACATGTGGAGCAGTACATGATTATGGCTGAAAAGATTTAACACTCTTTGTATTTTAACTAATTTGCCTTTTATTCTAAGCTTTTTCAAAAATCACCCTACAGCGCTTGTATTTTAGATAGTTTCACTTTTCAAAATATATGAAAACAAAAATTGACTGTTGAGCTTGGTGCTGTCAATTTTTGCATAGTCATGTAAAGAAAAAAACAAAGCTGGATAAATATTGCTACATTATATTTCAAGTATTACGATAAATTAACAAATCAACTTTTAAAAAAAAATGTCTTTCCCTTAAGTCGAGACTTGTGGTAATAAAAGATTTTTAAACTCTCAAATTGATACTCACCGATCCCCGAAACTATTGCCTCCACTTCTTTATCTGAATCCAGATCCACTGAATGGTCACAAGTGGTAATGCTGACTGTGTATAGCCACAAAATGACACGCAGCTCAACAAAATGACAATCTCCTGATACATCTTGGAGACAAGATGTCATAGGGATGACATAAGTATCATCATCTCTAAAGTAAGGTTTTAAAGAACTGTCCTGAAAAGGATGAGGGAAAAAGTGATTTAAAAAAAAAAGATATCCAACTGAAATCAATTTCTAATGTCAAAAAGCTGAATTGGTCAAGTAAATTAATCAGTACTAAATAAGTCAGTTTTTGGACCATTTGGATTACACTAACACAGTACAGAGAATTCTTCCATGTTTAGTAAATGGGACTGCAGTCTCTCCAACGCGGTAAATCGCAAGTCACAGAGTAAATGCTTATTGGACGTACTCACATTGATCTAAATATTTCCAGATTTAATTAATATAGTCCTACTGTTTGATTAGGCCGGCACTATGTACATCGCGGCGGTGTACCTAGCAAAACCATTGGCTTTTGCCTGTGTACACTGCAGTGGTAAAAGCAGACAAACCATGTTCTTTGTCAGTCTTTAATTGATACTATTTGGCCTGACCAGTACTTGTCAAATTAATGTTATACTCTTGTTTATTTATTTTATTTAAATTTATTTAATACCTGCAAGATTAAAGTAATTGCATTTTTATTGTGCGCAGAGCTTGAATCCTGTAGGAATGCATGGGAATGATGTTGATGTAACTGTAATATGTTTTGCTATGACATATTTTTTTGTTTGGGGGTTGAGAGGGAGATATTGGGTAAGTTCCTTCACATTTGTGGTAAGGTACTTGTAAGGAGCATTTCTTAGTATTTTTCTGGTTATATCGGGCTGATTCGTAAGTAAAATGAATTTTATGTTATAACTTGTGGCTTACCCTGCAGGGAGGCAATTTGTAGATTATATCAGACCTGTTTACCCTCTAACCCTTAAAATCGTACAATATTCAACATCATTACAAAATTGTTCAATACACCATCTTAATAGTAAACATAATGCATACAGTATATATAATGTATACACCTCAAAATCGTACATTGTACGCCAGAATCGTAAAAGTAAACAGGTCTGTTATATGGACAAGCACCATTTTTAGGCAACAGGAGAGTTTTTCATGACAGTGGGTGGCCACAATATTGGGGCACTTACCCTTGTGTCTACATAATATGTGGATGGACCCATATCATAATGAATTGGAAATTTAAACCTAATGATCCTGTGCTCTTTATAATTGTAATTAAATTTCCTGGCATTTTGCACTGTAAATTGCCATAAGCACCTGCGGACATCCGCAACCTACCGGGGGGGGGGGGGGGGTCCCGGGGGATTAAGCAGCATGTGGACAAGGGGAAGAGGTGGGAAAGCTGCGTATTTTCAATTAAGATCAGAAAAAAACTTAGAAGATTTTGGCCTAGTCAACTCAATCAGTATCAGCATCTGGGAATTGATGTCCATGTATGATATAATCTAAGAGTTTACCACAAGACCACACAAGATCATATTTATCCGCCATATCTCAAGACAAGGCCAATGGTAATTTTTCACAATAGTGAACTAAGGTCTAGGGCCATGATTTTGCTAGTAACACAGCCACTGTGTACGCAGGCTTAGGTCCATAGTTTTACTAGGTACACTGTACTGTGTATGTAGGTAGGCAGCCACTTCAAATAATCTACTAATTTATTAATTGGGGAATCCGCCATAATATAAATAGTAATTACTATGACTTTAGAAATGGGGTTACTAAATATCAAAATAACACCTCCACATATAACATAATTCTTATTAAGTTTAAGGTTGCTTGCCTGTTCAGGTTTCAGAGCTGATGGAATAACAGTTGCGCCAGAATATGTGGCAAGTACTGGGCATAAAACCCTATCAGAATTTTCTTGGGATTTTGTAGTATAATTAGGATTTTCTCCATCAATTGCTTTTCTCTCAGTGCCTTCTGGTGAATCACTTAGTATTATTGGAATAACAGTGGGTTGTGGGACTATTGTTGCTTGAAGAGCAACCCTCGAAATAAGCTGTTTCCAATCGTGCGTGTTGACATTTGGAAATCTCTTTAGAACTATATCGTATTTTATTGTCTCACCGACATAAACATGAGCATGATATTCATAATGCGGATGTCTGTGGCTACCGAAACAAGGTTGGTTGCTTATGCCTTCGATAGAGACGTGGCCAATAGTGTCATCAAGCTCTGTGGTGGCCGGTACGGCACTTGTGGTGTTTTTGTTTACACCTGCCATGTTGAATAGTGCTAACCACTTACCGCCTTACACTCTTAAATACATCAGCTTTTTCATTTATTTATTTATATTTTGGTTGTTGTTGTTTGTCCATATTGTTTGAAACATCATAACATTTTATGTTAAGGAAAAATGTAAATTTAAGTATGTATACAGTATACATCATAATACATGCACGTTCCTTGGCTATTATATTGTGAATTAATTGTCATTAAACTTACAAAGGAGATGCTGGTATTCTTAAAAATACCACAAGTGCCTAATATTTAATTTTCTTTTATTTTGCGGAAATAGTTTCCATTTAAATATAAATCTATATAATTCTCTAGGTACTAGTTATAGCCCGTCAAACAATGGCAGTGGCAATGCGCGAACCTCACATCTACTAAAGTTTCTTGACAGAACAAACATGCATTCAGGTAACGCATTTTATAAGAATCCCAATAAACGCTGCCCCCCCCCCCCCCTTTTTTTCCC